TGTGAGGCTCCCTACGGGGCTACGATTCACGTGACGGGTGTACCGAAGTGGGGTCGGTGCCGCCATGCGACCCCTGCTTCTGGAGCCTTTTTGTGGAGCTCCCTACAGGGCCACGATCCTCGTGACGGGTGTCCCGAAACTGGTGCGGCGACGTTGTGCAACCCTTGCCAATTGAGCCTTCTGTGGAGCTTCCTATGTGGCCACGACCCTCGTGACGGGTGTACCCAAGCACCATCATAAGTGTCTCAGGGGTCGTTTATACCCTGTCGTTGAACGCATGTTGTTGGATACCCAGTGCGGAGGTTGCAAAGGTCGAAATCGGTGCGGTACCGCCAAGCAACCCCTGCCACTGGAGCCTTCTGTGGAGCTTCCCACGGGGCCACGATCCTCGTGAGGGGTGTTCCGACATTGGCGTGGTGCCGCCATGTAACCCTTGCCACTGGAGCCTTCTGTGGAGCTTCCTACGTGAGGGGTGTTCTGACATTGGCGTGGTGCCGCCACCTACGGGGCCACGATCCTCGTGATGGGGTGTACCAGTATAAGTGCGGAACCGTCATGCAACCCCTGCCACTTGAGCCTTCTGTGGAGCTCCCTACGGGGCCACGATCCTCGTGAGGACTGTAATTACCGAAGTGAATGATGGTGAGGATTGTGGAGAGCAGAGGCAGGGAGGAAAGGAGGAGGAGGAGGAGGAGGAGGAGGAGGAGGAGGAGGAGGAGGAGGAGGAGGAGGAGGAGGAGAGGAGGGGCAGGACGCGGAGGACAAGGAGGAGGAGGAGGAGGAGGAGGAGGAGGAGGAGGAGGAGGAGGAGGAGGGACGCGGGCCGATGTCCCTCCAACACGAGGACCCACCACGGCAGGATGGTTGGGAAAGCATCGTGCCGCCAGGGGTCTGGGAGATCTGCCGGCTTCCAGGGGTGTAGCGGGCGCCACGGCCCTCTCAGGAGCGTCGGTCAGGTGGCGCTCCTGAGCGCTTTGGAGCGATGGAGTCTGACCCTTCGGCGGCGAGCCTGATGGGGAAGCGTGAGAGGGCAGGCCTCTTCAGAGGGCGGTGGGGCCTCCTCTCAGAGTGCCCCTGGCCTGCTGAGCAGCCGCTCGTGTCGCATCCTCCAGAGAGGACCCAGCATGCTCCTCGGGAGCCCGCAGGCCTTCTGAGCCTTCTGAGAAGGCCTGCTCCTTCTGCCTTCCCCCCCCGGGCTCGCCGCAGAGATCCTGGACCTGACTTGTTGCCGGCCGGTGTCGCAGTCCTCCTGCTGTTCCCCCCTGCTGCCCGAATCTGGGGTTATGATGCTCCAACCTATTTTAGCCTTGATCACCAGAAAGAATTCCGGGCGCCCAAAAGAGTACCGAAACTCAAGGGTTTTCACTTGTCGGGCCCTGGGTGACACTCGTCCGACACTGTTTCGACACTGTTTCGACATTCTTTTGACACTTTCTGGGGTGCTCGAAATTATTTCTGGGATGTGGCTCTTGTCGGATGGGAACAACATAATCCTGGACCTGACTTGTTGCCGGCCGGTGTCGCAGTCCTCCTGCTGTTCCCCCTTTCTGCCCGAGTCTGGGGCCACTGCCTCCGGAGGAGGAGGAGGAGGAGGACCAGGAGCAGGAGGAGGAGGAGGGAAGAGGAGGGAGGAGGAGAAGGAGGAGGAGGAGGAGGAGGAGGAGGAGGAGGAGAAGAAGAAGAAGAAGGAGGCCTTCGCGGTTGTGCCGCGCGACCAGCTTTCGCCGTTGATGTGGTATCTGCGCGGATTGCGCGCCGACGCAAATCGTCTCGCGCGCTCCTCGCCCCCAATCCTCGAGTTCTTACCCGCCTGAAGCGTAGCTTAGTTCCCAGGACTGCTGGCATTCCATGATCTCGGTGCCGTCCTTGAGGATTCCTTCGGGTTCTCAGGACGCATCCTTAAATGTTGTCATCGCCTTTTGGCTTGCCAGCCATAGGGACAGGGATAGCTTTCGAGGCTAGTTGGTTCCCCCCAAACCAGGCTGTCGAGAACGGGAGCGGAACTCGGTCATACACTTCCAGCGGGGCTATTGGACGCATTATTATCGAGGATGGCCGCTCCCCCACCCCCTATCGTATATCCCCTTTTGGGCCCACATTCGTGGACCAGTCGAAAGCCCGACGAAGACGCCACACCCTCCGTTAGAGGAGGAGGGTCAGAAGGACGATGCTGAGGAGGAGGAGGAGGAGGAGGAGGAGGAGGAGGAGGAGGAGGAGGAGGAGCGCGACGGCGATGTCGTCGTCTCTCCTCGTTATCACGTTTGTCCCTTCTCCTCCGTCGATTCGCGGCGTTGAAGTCCCACAAGTAGCGTTTTGTCCGAGTTCAGGGTTTTCAGACGGTTGCCTTCCAACGGGGTACGAGTTTCCTCAAGTGAAAATCGATCTTCGTACGAACCTATGAAGAAGACATCTGGAAGAAGGGCTTGGTGCAACATCATTGATGGTTCCTGGTTCCTGGGTCTGTACTGGTCCTCGTCCTCCTCCTGCTCCCCCCCTTACCCCTACTTTCTCCCTCATCTTACCCATTCGCGCCAAGCGTAAATAGGTCGAAGAGCTTTGCTTAGTGTTGCAAACAAATCATCTTCCCAATTTACTCCCTCCTCTCCTCTCCCTCCTCCTCGCCATTCTCTCTCCTCCATCCTCCCTCCATTCCTCCTCCTTTTCCTCTCGTCGCCCCCCCTTCTTCTCTCTCTCTCCTCTCCTCCTCCTCCTTCTCCTTCCTTCCTCCCCCTCCTCGTTCTCCTCCTCCTCCCCCTCCTCCTCCTCGGGCTTCCCCCCTCCTTCCTCCCCTCCCTCCCTCCCGACGCTGGGTGCCCTCCCTAAGGCAGTGCACCTGGAGCGCCGCGCTCCCCCGCGCCGCCCGCGCCGGCCTGGCCCCGCTGCTCGCGGCGCTCGCCGGCTACCTCCTCGCCTGAGAGGGGGGAGGCTGCGACGGCCCCCCCCGAGGGGAGTGGCGCGCGCCGGGGCGCCGCTCTCACAGCAGCAGGGCCAGGCTCGTACTCCTCCTCCTCCTCCTCCTCCTCCTCCTCCTCCTCCTCCTCCTCCTCCTCCTCCTCCTCCCTCCTCCTCATCCTCCTCCTCTCCACCTCCACCTCCACGTCCTCCTCCTTCTCCTCCTCTCCTTACACCCCCTCCTCCTCCTCCTCCTCCTCCTCCTTTTCCTCCTTCTCCTCCTCCTCCTCCTCCTCCTCCTCCTCCTCTTTGTCCAGCCGTTTCGGCTCAGAGTTTTTCTGAGCTTGCAACAGCATGCCTCTTCGAAACGGCCAAGTGCTGTTGCGGGCCTTTGGCTCGTTTTAATGATTTGTGAGCTCCTGCTGGAGCATACGTACCCTGCTCCTGAGGGAGCCAAGCATGGATGCAGTCGTAAAAGGGCCGCGGACGCCATATTGGGGCTGCCAGAAGAGTGGAAGAACGAGCAACCGGGCGTGCAGACTGCAGTGTCAATGCGGTCAAAAGGCGCCCAAGCATGTTCTGGATCGTGCGAAGACCTTCGTCAATGGGGCGGGCTCTAGTGTTGCTGCTCCTCGCGGGGGTGGTGGTGGGTCACACGTGCTCGGAGATAAGCGCCAGGCGAAGCTTGAGAAGCAGCTGGCTGACATCACCAAGCGATTCGACCTACTGCTCAAATCTTCTCCCCAGGGCGGCAGCCACGTCGGCGGTGGCAAGAGTGGTGCGAGCCCAGGTGGAGAGTCGACAGAGCAAGCGGAGGACCCCCTGGTTGCCCAGGCGGCGGAGCTCGAGCAGGCCATCAAGGCGTGCGGCAAGGAGCACATGTCCTCAGCCAAGGAGTTGCTGGTCACTCAGCTGCGCGACGTGCGCGCCAAGCTGGAGGCCAAGAGGAGCGACATCACGCAACACCGTCGGACACCGCCTGGCCAGGGCGCAGAAACAGTTGGCGAAGCTCACCTGTGAAGTCGAGTCGCAGAATGACGCCATCAAGGCGGCCACCGCCAAGCGCGACGAGCTGGAGGCCAAACGTCGGGCTGCTGCTGTCGAAGTGGAGGCCCTCCAGAAGCAACTGGTTGCATCTATTCCTCGTGGTGTACCACATGCCAAGCCTGCTCCGCCGACCCTGGAGATCCCCACGGAGATGCTCGAGGGCAAGGAGGAGATCAAGTCGACGTTGGAGAGTCAGGCCTTCAAGGAGTACGCGTCCCTCATCGCACAGTTGCAGAAGGACCAACCTCCTGATGGCATTGCTACTCCTCCTGCTGTCCCCGAGGATGACGATGACGACGAAGAACTACCTCAAGCCTTCGCTGATGACGCAGAGGCCGAGAAGTTCTGGGAAGAGCATCGGGGAGACAAGCGTGCGATATGCCAGGCGCTGGCGTCAGGAGCGTTCAAGAGGGCGAAAACTTCGGGTTCCTGACGGTGAAGGCGTACACGCTGTACTGAGGGCTCCCAGGGTGGGGGCCCAGGCACAGTCTTTTGGTGGAGCAGCTCCCGCTTTGGAGCAAGGTCCCTCGTTTCTTGTTTTGTCGGGGGCCTCTTGTGAGGCCCGCGTCGGCCGCGTCCAGCACGAACAGAGCCAAGCCCTACGTGGGGCCGCCGCTCTGCACTGGTTTCAAAATTTCTAAGTTCGGGGCGGGCTGCCCTCCCTCGCCTGCTTCGTTCAAGGCCGATGACCTACCAGGGCAGGTTTTTGAGTGTTATAATGGGGGCAGCTGGGGCACTCTTTGAGAAACGGCTCAGACGTTCTGAAGCGTTGGTCTGTTTCGCCCAGGAGATCGGCATTACGGACGAAACTCAAGAGGATACGACGGCCAAAGCACTGGCGATGGGATGGCAAATGCTCTGCTCGCCCTCTGTTCTCGCTGGCCGTGGGCAACTCTCAGCGGGTGTGGCGATATTCGCGAGGGCCACGGTGGGCCTCAGAGGGCCAAGTCGGTTGCCACGTGGGGTTTTAGTGCCGCATCGCCTGATTGTTGTGGAGCTGGACCTTCCGCAATGGCCGCAACCAGTGGTGGCTGCACGTGGGCGCCTCCATGACTCCGAAGGCCTCTCGAAGCGCAACCTGAAGATTTTGAGGGAAGCGGGCGAGGCCCTCGAGGGCCAGCACCTGGCCATGTTCAGAGCGGATTGGAACATGCAGTCGTCGATCGTCGAGTTGTCGGGGTTACCGCGCAAAGCAAACATGGTCATCCTGCAGCCCCCAGCCGAGACATGTGCCACGGCAGCGGCTAATTCGTACATGGACTATTTCGTGGTGTCGCCAGCGGTTGCGAAGTTGGTCGGTAAGACCTCTGCCATCGCGACGTGGCCGCACCGCCCGCGCAAGCCTGTGCAGTTGCAGTTCAAGGCAGGTGTTAGCGGGGTCAAGCAGTTGATGTATAAAACGCATAACAGGCTCTCAAGGGAGCTCCCATGTGGTCCCTCCCCCGAGCCACCGTGTTGGGAGGCCCCCAGGGCCCTGGCCGAATAAGCTAACAAAGCTGCCAGCGTCGATTCGGTGATCGTGGCGTGGGAACTGCTCTCTGCCGCGTGGAAACGTTTTTCGGATGTCATGGAGGTCGAGTTGGCAGGTAAGCTGGACACTCCGATCAAGAACAAGGGCCTCAAGGGGCTTCCTTCCTCGGCGCAGTAGGTCTCGGTGTTTGCGAAACCACGACGGAACCCTGAGGATGAGGAACTGGTCTGTGAAGGTTGGATTTGGCTCCAGCAGAACCTCAGAGACCTCCAATGCACGGCCTTGCGAGTGCATGAGAGCCGTGGCATGAGTGTGAACCAGGGCATCCAGGCTGTGTTCAACGCCTGCAGCATCATCCAGCAGCCCTTTCATGGGGAGGGCCTGTCCGTGAGGCTGGACGCCACGGTCAGCGCGCCGGGCAGTTAGTTGCGTCTCGGCCTCAGGGCAGAGGCCAGTTGTCGGATTGGCTCGAAAAGATCACGCAAGCTCTGGATGATTGGGGCGACGATTTTGACAGCGCCCGATCGGGCCTCGACACGCGTGCCAAGGTGAGCTGGGATCAGTGGCAGCACGAGGCGCCACCAGGTTCGGCGCGGAAGATGCACAAGTTTTCCCGTCTAAAACCGAAATGGTTGCCCACGATCATTGAGGCGGCCCTTTTTTTTTTCGGCCGACCCGCGCAAGCTGCTTGCGAATGAAGCCGATGTGTTAGGGTCCTACTGGAAGGCTTCCCCATGCCCAGAACCCTTCGAGGTCCTGGACAGGCAATGTTGTGAGCGCTTGCGGCCCGAAGATATCCGTGCTCTCTGCAAAACGTTCAGCTCTCACACGGCTCAGAGTTTGGATGTCGTGCACATCAGGCACTACGGCATGCTGTGCGATGCTGGCCTCGAGCCCCTCGCGTGCATTTTCCAGACGATCGAGAAGATCGGGGTCTCCCCGAAGGCCGTTTACTGGATGCTTTTCCCCCTCTTGGAAAAACCCAAGGCTGGGCTTCGCCCCGCGTTGCTCTGCGCGGCCCCTGCGAGGCTGCGGGAAAAAGCTAGGCGGCCCGTGGTCCAGGATTTCGAGGCCAGACAGCCGAGAAGGTATTGTGCTTTTGGAGCGGGGAAGCCGGCGGAGCAAAGCATCTGGAACCAGGCCGTCAAGGCTGAAGCCCATGTCGGAGAAGGGAATGTGACGGGAGGTTTTCCGTGGGACGGATCCAAGTACTACGAGTCCTGCCGATTAACCACGCTCCGAGATCGCTCGCTGGCTTGCTGGCCTGCCGGGTGTGGTGGTCAAGTTCACTTTCATTTTTTGGCGCGGCCCGCGCATCCTCCGTCTTGGGACGGGTCGCAGTGTCGCCCCGCTGCATGCTTCGCGCGGGCTGCCTGCGGGGTCGTGTTTCAACGACATTAACGTCGAGGTGTATGCGCTTGAGCCCTTCGACAAATTTCTCGAGCGCAACCGTGATGTGGACCTGGCTTCCCACGTTGACGATGATACGGTCAGCGCCTATGGAAGCCCCAACCATGTCGTGGAGGTACTGGGGAAAGCTGCCGATGACCTTCGCGAAGTTCTTCAGAGCGAGTTCGGAGTCGGACTGGCTGCCGACAATTTTTGACGTTTGCCTCCTCGCCTGCTCTGTCGCTGCGGATCGGACGTCGCCTCGGAACGCTGGCGGGCACCGTGGGAACCCACGTTGTTCCCCTGGGAGTTGATCTGGCCCCTGGTGTTAAGAGGAGTGCGAAGCAGGCCTGCAGCAAGAAGAACATTAGACTTGCTGATATGATTCGGAGGCATTGTAAGCTCAAACGCTTGAGGAGGGCCCTCCCCAGGGACAACAGTAGGATTGGAAAGATCTACACGGCGGGGGTCCGACCTGCGGTGTCTTTCGGGGACGCGATAACGGGCTGCAGCGATGCTGAGCTCAAGAAGATCAGGTCGGCTATGCTTTCTTTTTCCGCACCCGCTCACGCGGGGGTCTCTGCCCAGGCGAAGACAGTGCTGCTTGGCGATCCAGTTTGGCGCAGCATGGTCGCGCCTGCCTTAGCCCGGGCCGCTGCCGTGTGGCAGACGGCAGCTAAGCCCGCGCTCGCCTTCTTCACGCTTCCCGAGCCGCGCAACATGTGGTTGGCGTTGCCGAAGGACGGTCTCACGTGGAAGAATTCGAGGGGCCCCATTAGCCGTATGTTCCTGTCCCTTCAGCGCATTGGCTGGGAGGCCCTGGGACCACTTTTGTGGAAGGATGACGAGGGAAACGAGCTCTTGCTGTTGTGCAATTCCCTTGCGATGTCAGGATCCCTCTTGCGCGAAGGAGTCCAGAGGCACCATGAAAGGTCCCTGGCCGAAACGCTCGGATGGGGGGGAGGGGGAACGTGCGTGTGTGCGCGTGTTGAACCGATACGTCGTATCACTAAAGCGTTGGGCAAGGGTATGGGCTCAACGCTCAAGGTAAATATATGGTTCAGTCCTTTTCTGTGATGGTTGTTGGTGCGAAGATCGGGCCGTCAAAGCTGGTTACTTACCCTCGGGATTGTGCCCTCTCTGCGGTCTGCCCGATTCGCTGCGACATAGATTGTATCACTGCGTGGGTAGTCCTGAGGTCCGCGCCGCCCGATCGGCTATTGAGGCCAGTGATTTCTTTTACCAGCAGGCGCAGGATGGCCCCAGTGAGTTCTACACAGGACTCAAGTTTCGCCACCCTGCTAGTTCGTGGCCGCCACCAAGCGACGAGCACGAGCCCATGCTGTTCGCCGCGGACGGTTTGCCATTATCATGGAACGATTTCGACACCACTGGTCTGAGTGTGTCTGGAGATGGGTCCTGTTCCCCGCATGCCATCAAAGAGCTTCCCAGGGCATCGTATTCGTGGGTCTTCACGGGGCCCGATGGTCAGCAGGTGGCGACGGCGAAGGGCACGGTCTGGCCGTCGCTGCCGCAGACGAGTCAGGCAGCAGAGCAACTGCAGCTGAGCCTGTTGCATATTTTCGTGCCGAGGCATGGGGAAGCGTGTTGGAGTGACTGTATGAACGCTGTTCGGTTACACAGTACGCCCCAGCAGCAGCTCAGCCACAAACACATGTATGCGGGTCTGCGCAGAGGAGCGTTGCAGCACATGGTTAATAACAAGTATGCCCCAGCTGTTTTTACCCCAGCACACAGAGAGATGAGTGCTATTGATGCGCTCCCTGCCCCAGAAAGATGGCTAGGTCAGGCCAACTGGCAGGCGGATTTAGTAGCCGAGACGGCCCTTCGACTACACCCGCAACCGTCTGTTGCGGAGGTAGAGGTGGTCAATAATGCGGTGGAGCAGCTCCAAACAGCCGCTCGCCTCGCCGCGGGGATCCCCCCATTGTATCCGAGGGTCCAACACCAGCGTCCGCCGACAAACGAGCGCCCTGCCAAACTTTTTGATAAGAATGGTGGCTGGCACTCCTGGGAGCCTTGGCTGTGGGGCTCTAGATGCGTTAGCTGTCTGAATTTCTACAGTGGAACAAAGGGCTCGAGACCCGAGGCGGGTTGTTCTGGTTGCCCCGCGAGGGTTAAGGGGCTCTTGACTCTGTCCCCTCGTCACGGCCATCAGTTGGCTTCAACGCAAGTGGCAAACCAGTCGAAGCCACTTTTCTTCTGCATGTTGTGTGGTTATTTCGCCCAGCATAGGATATTCAAGTTAGCTAAGCGCTGCCGCCAACCCCGCACAGACGAGGACAGGAGCAGTGCTGGAACGACGGCTCTCAGGAGATTGCGGAGAGGATTGCATCCCAAGAAAGAGCTGTCGGTCACATGCGCGGAGCATGAAGCTCCACTCACCATGCAAGAGGCTAATTCATACGAGCAGGCGGTCAGGCCTGTGCGTATCCCAGCTCATGCCAGCTACATCGACAGGCTGGCGGCTCTGCGAGCTCGCACTGCTGCGAAGGAAGCGAGAGCGTTGGAGCGGGGAGTGGGTGGGGGAGTCGTGCGACAGGCTTCGGCTGAGGCGGCGTCGTCTAGACTTGCCCCCGAGCCAAGTGGTGATGCGAACGCAGAGGACGCAGCTGCGCAGTTTCGTTTTGAGGGTGGAGAGTCGCCCCACGCGGTGGCACCCGCCTTCGACTCAGATCCCATGCCCAGGCTCGATCGAGCGGAACCCTCGCGAGGAGGGGAGGATAACGCTCCCCAGGTCGCAGGCAAAGTCCAATATGACCTTGATTCGGGATCCTCGGACTGATGCGAGTCGAGAGGCGGTTGGCCAAGGCCCACTCCCCGTTTGGGAGGGGTGCGCTGTGGTCTCCTGCCCCCCACTGCCGCTCAGTCTGGCGGGCCGCTGTGCGGCCCCTTTGTTACTGGTTCGGTCAAACGTGACCAAAAACAAATCCTCCTCTTTGTCCTCTTTCTCCTCCTCCTCCTCGTCCTCCTCCTCCCCATCTTCCTTGTCCTCCTCCTCCTCCTCTTCCTCCTCAGGTGACCTCCTCCTCCTCCTCGTCGTCACCTGAGGGGAGAAGTGTGAAGGGGGGGAGGAGGAGGTCGAGGATGATCGAATGATACATGATGAGTAGCATCCCGCAACTGCGGATACGAGTGAGGGGGCGACGGAGTCGTCGGCAGTCTGTCAAGCTCTGAAGAAGTACTCCGCAGGTGCCGAAGTTTGTAACGTGTTACAACGAGCCCGCCGCAGGTGCCGATTTTTTCGTCAAGGCAATGTGGGAAGGTCACGGGTGGGTCGCGGGTGTGTCGCAGAATGGGTCGCGGGTGGGTCGCGGGGCGGCCGAGAGGTAGGTCGCGGGAGGGTCGCGGGCAAGTCGCGGGCGAGGATGACGACGACAACGCAACAACGAAACGTAACAACGCAGCAGCAATCCGCAGCGCGGGACCACACTTCGGCCACGTACCCAGAGACAGGGAATGCCCGCTCGGCCCTCTCACTCGGAC